AATTCAAGAAATAAATAAAAAATATATATTTCTTCACATATGCGAAATCAAAAGCAAAAACTAATGCCAGTATTGGACCTATGCGTACCAGTGAAGGTTTATACACTGATGACGATAAAGAAATTAGTGAAATCCTAAAAAAAGCAGTATGAGGACATGTTTAGCACTCCGATACTCAGCATGAAAGTGAAAGATCCGGACATCTTTATGCGTGATATCCAAACCCCTGTAAATATAACTGATATCAACACGAGCGTGACAGATTTTAAAATAGGAATTGACAACATGCCCATGCACTCAGCCCCGGGTCCAGATTCATGGAATTCAATATTTATAAAAAAAATGCAAAGTGCCAGTAGCACAGGCACTCAGTATAGTGTGGAGGAAGAGCTTGGACACCGGGGAGATACCAGATGCGCTTAAAGCAGCAGACATTGCCCCTCTACACAGGGAACAAAGCATTGGCTAAGAATTATAGACCAGTTGAACTAACGTTCCGCATAATAAAAGTATTTGAGAGAGTGATCAGAAGTCAAGTCACCAGTTTCATGGAGACCAATGACCTCCACAACCCAGGCCAACATGGATTTCGAGCGGGAAGGTCATGCCCCTCACAGCTACTTGACCACTACGACAAAGTCACTGAGGCATTAGAAGAAAAACAGAATGCAGATGTGGTATACACGGACTTCGCAAAGACTTTCGATAAATGTGTCCATGGAGTGATAGCACACACAATGAGGTCAATGGGAATAACTGGTAAAACAGGACGGTGGATACTCAGTTTTCCGTCGAACAGAACACAAAGAATAGCCCGTAAGTAAGTTTGTTGATTGATTGATTGATGAAGATTAAGCCACCCAAAAGGTGGCACGGGCATGAATAGCCCGTAAGTGGTGGCCCTTTTGAGCCATTACCAGTATCAATAGATGATACTGGAGCTCTGTGGAGGTGCGACTGCACCCTGCGTGACTGGAAATGTCCCCCGTGTAAGTTTGTTGGTGTTAGGCTCGCTTTATATGGCAGGTTCCTAATGCCATCCCATCCTCCTGTTTAGATAGTACTTTTTGTTACTATGTGCACCATAGAACAAATATTGACGTCCTAAGCAATTCCATAGTAGAATGTTGTACTATTCACTCTATAGTCTGAACAAATTAGGCTAAAATACAAACTTAAATATTCCTAGGCCTAGTATAGCACACTAGGCGACTAGTGCGACCTCTCACCAGTCGCACTAGTGCTATAGATACTAATATACACTAACACCTAAAAGCCATTGAAGTCACACCGAAAAGTCGCCTTGTCGCCGACTAGGCGACCTTCCAGCGACTATAAATATTGCCGGAACTAGGGAACTATCAGGGGGGAAAGCGCTAAGTCATTACGACTATATAGCACTTGGAAAGGGTCAGGATAAGGATTTGGGATGGGAAGGGGGGAAGGAATGGTGTCCAACCACTTGGACGGTCGGGGATTGAACGCCGACCTGCATGAAGCGAGACCGTCGCTCTACCGTCCAGCCCAAGTGGCTGGGTAAATATTGCCAGAACAACCGTGGACATCTTTAAGAGAAAACTAGATTGTTTTCTAAAAAAAAAAAGTGCCGGATCAGCCGGGCTGTGATGGGTATGTGGGTCTGCGGGCCGCTCCAAGCCAGTATTGGACCAAACTCTCACAAGTCAAGCCTGGCCTCAGGCCGGGCTTGGGGAACTGAACTCCCAGAACCCCATCAAGTGGGTAACACACATATTCTATATTAGGCTTCAGAATGCGTGTATTAGGCCTAGGAAGGTTAGGTTAGGTTAGGTTTGTCTTTACAACATAAGTAGAAAATCGTTTTCCTGTTTGTCCAAGTTCTATAGTACCAAATTCTACTTTCGTTGTACGTCGGTATATGTACTTTGGTCCTCTTCCTTCCTATAAGTACTATCAAAACAGGAGAATACGCTGCCTAATGCACATTATTAACGCAAGACATCCTTCAACATGTACTCTCAAGAAATGTTTATCCATTCAATAGTATGGTGACCAAAACTGTAGTATATACCTTAAGTGGCCCCTAAAGTGTGGCCAAAACTGTAGTGTATACCTCAAGTGAGCCCTAAAGTGCGAGACAATTTGGATGGTTAACATGACAACTTCATAATTTATGTTTCAAAATGCCAATCCTAGTACCGTATTAAAAATATTTGGAGTACTGTATTTATAATTGTCTTGGTTTCCAATCCCTGCTAATCATGACTTTAATCCTTTTCTCAACTTAATTTGACATTTTCAGCATTGTTTATATGGTATCTAGGCCTATATTTCCTCTGGCTGAAACCCTTGCCATTAAAAGACTTCTTTTATTTTCTCTCCAGTTGAGCGTTTGTTTATGTCCCCTTGTCACGCTCCCTCCTTGTTCATGTATGTATTGGCCGTCATGTGTTAGTGTATAGGCCAGTATATGTTGGTGTATAACCCGGCATATGTTGGTGTATAACCCGGCATATGTTGGTGTATAACTCGGCATATGTTGGTGTATAACCCGGCATATGTTGGTGTATAACCCGGCATATGTTGGTGTATAACTCGGCATATGTTGGTGTATATATGCAACCCGTTCTCGCAAATTTAATAAGTCAATATTGACTTATTAGTTGCGTGCATAGGTGACATACTAAACATAATAGTTTCCCTTGAAAAGCTTCATAGAAAACACCGACCTTACCTAACCTACTTAGTATGTTAAAATAAGCATCTTATAGCTTCGTAATTACAATTGTTACTTAACCTATTATAGGTATAGGTTAGGTAATAATTGTAATTACGAAGCAATAAGATACTTATCTAAACCTACTAAGTAGGTTAGGTAAGGTTGGTGTTTTCTATGAAGCTTTTCAAGGGAAACTATTATGTTAAGTATGTCACCTATGCACATATTTAATAAGTCAATATTGACTTATTAAATTTGCGAGAACGGGTTGACTAAGTAGGTTAGGTAAGGTCGGTGTTTTCTATGAAGCTTTTCAAGGGAAACTATTATGTTAAGTATGTCACCTATGCACATATTTAATAAGTCAATATTGACTTATTAAATTTGCGAGAACGGGTTGATATATGGAGTCATGTGCGGGTAATGTCAAGGTCAGGCGGTGTAACAGTTGTTGAGGTGACTTGAGTAGAGACTTGGGATTATACCAGACTTACGAGACATTGACAGGGAGGTGAGGTTCAAGTATGTTTATTGAGACAAGAAAGAAATAACATCTCAAAGGGATAGAGTAGCTTAGGCTATTTCTACCCCCTAAGGTAGACTTAACCTTAGTTAAGTCTACCTTAGGTGGGTAGACTTAAGACTAAGGTAAGTTTAAGGTTAAGGTAGACTCTACTTTAACCTTAACCTTAACTTAAGTTAAGTATCCCATAAGTTCCTTCCATAGATATGATAAGGACCAAAGAGGTGAGGTAAGACCAAACGAACCTCACCTCCAGTAGTTTCAAAGGTTTCAAAGGCTATCCCTTCTTACCAGATTAAAATCCATCCATTCAACGAAACATTGGGGGATAGACGGGTATAAACGCTCGTTATAATCGAGGGAGAGTTTTACGGGCTATTCATGCCCGTGCCACCTCTTGGGTGGCTTAATCTTTATCAATCGAGGGAGAGTAGAGTTGTGTTGTGGGTCTCAGACAGACAGACAGACAGGAGTTTGGGGTGTAGTGTGGGGCATCACAGGGAGGGAGGGAGACAGACAGTGTCTACAAGGAAGCCTCATCACTGTTGTATCTTGAGTGAGTACTGGTCGCTTATGTTCTAACATCACAAGTCTTGATATTCTATTGCCTTGATGGGGAAGATAGATTAGGAGTAATGTCAAGGGCAGGCAGTGTGGAGTAATGTCAAGGGCAGGTGGTGTGGAGTAATGTCAAGGGCAGGCAGTGTGGAGTAATGTCAAGGTTAAGGTGGCAGTGAATATCGCTGTCAGATTAAGATGAGGCAAGATTGGGAAGCCAGGAATTCTTAAGACCTGATCCAACCGGCCAGGTTAATAGGTTGACTGATGCTGGCAGCAGTAGTGAGAGAGCTCCAGCTGCTGGGCTCTGCCTCTGACTAGTATGATGGATGATGACCAGCGAGCACTATCAAGCACACGCAGGGTTATAAGTAGCCATCTCATATACTGGTATTTTGACAACAATAATTGAACCATTGGAGAAGGTCTTGATGCCTCGACATTGGTACACACCACGGCACCAATCCAGTAGTTCAGGCTGCCTGCAAAATGGATTTGTTTTTAATTTATATAAGAGTAGTAAATATATATTTAAATTTTGGTTATGTGTATTCTAGAACCATGCCATATTAGCTGTAGATTTTCATCATTGTAAACACAATATTTCATGATTTTCTTTGTTTTTGGTTTTACTTAGCATTGTATATTTCAAGTTACTGAGAATGTTGAATATCATTATATGAGGTCATATATATTACCGGTGTCCTCCCGCAGCGTCACCTCTGGAGACATGCTCACCATTTTGGTGTACATCTGATAGGCTATTTCCACATCATACAACCACCACCACCACCAATGATGCCATCATTTCCCCACCAATTTCACTACCACCATCTATCATCACTACTACCACAACACTATCAACATTACTGCCACGATTTCCATCACTACCACCACCAACATTACTTCCACCACACTACTAGCATCGCTACCATCACCACCACAACCACCACTACCACCACCACTTCCACCACCACCACTTCCACCACCACCACTACCATCACCACTTCCACCACCACCACTACCACCACCACCACCACAACCACAACCACAACCACAACCACCACCACCACCCAATACTCAAACATACCACCCTGAGATACTCCCCTAGAGTGACTTGAATTGAAACATATACACCCATAGTATACATATTTATCTTGCATAATACGCATTTATTTGCTGTTGCACACGCTGAAGCTAACAGTAGTTGTTCTCCAACAGGATATATCAACCGTGGGGCCTTGCAGCAAGATCCAGCAGGGAGATATATCAGCAGACCCCTCGGATATAACGGTGTCCCGCACCCTGGGGTCGGCCGCTGGAGAGCGAGATGACAGCCTCTCTCAGCCTCCCAGCGTCAGGCCGCGATCTGGCACTTGGAGTGTCGCTAATTCCCGTAGAGTCAAGATTAAAGCTGAGAAGGAAGAAGAAGGTAAGGGATGTTGAAGGTCAAGGGATGTCCTTTTATGTTGGTGATTTATAGGGGTAACTTTCGCGCATCTGGTCATTGATATAACATGTACTATAAGGGAAATGTTTCATCAAACGACAAACTTTTTTTTGTAGTTTCTCAGACATTTAATTTCAGTACATTTTGTTAGAGCAGGTGAGGAAGGATGTTGCAAGATGTAAGATGAGGGTGATTGGTGTGCAATATGATCCCTCACACAACTGTGTGTGTATATCTGAGGTTATATCTGCAGTATACCTCATATGTGGCTCATATTGCTCTTACACGCAGTAGTTAAGCACTCATTATCACTCTCCTCTCTCTTTACACTCATTCATCCTACACTCACTCATCTACGCTCTCATACTTTCACATTTACTCCCCTATGCACTCACACCTGATAGGTGTGAGTGTGGTCCAGCACTTAGGTAATTATCTCACTCTCACTCCCTCACACTCTCACTCCCTCACACTCTCACTCCCTCACACTCACTCCCTCACACTCTCACACCTTCACTCTCACTCACTCACACTCTCACACCTTCACTCTCACTCTCACACCTTCACTCCCACACCTTCACTCACACCTTCACTCCCACACCTTCACTCCCACACCTTCACTCCCACACCTTCACTCTCTCACCATCACTCCCACACCTTCACTCCCACACCTTCACTCCCACACCTTCACTCTCTCACCATCACTCTCTCACCTTCACTCCCACACCTTCACTCCCACACCTTCACTCTCTCACCATCACTCCCACACCTTCACTCCCACACCTTCACTCCCACACCTTCACTCTCTCACCATCACTCTCTCACCTTCACTCCCACACCTTCACTCCCACACCTTCACTCTCTCACCATCACTCCCACACCTTCACTCCCACACCTTCACTCCCACACCTTCACTCCCACACCTTCACTCCCACACCTTCACTCCCACACCTTCACTCCCACACCTTCACTCCCACACCTTCACTCCCACACCATCACTCTCTCACCATCACTCTCTCACCATCACTCTCTCACCATCACTCTCTCACCATCACTCCCACACCTTCACTCTCTCACCATCACTCCCACACCTTCACTCCCACACCTTCACTCCCACACCTTCACTCCCACACCTTCACTCCCACACCTTCACTCCCACACCTTCACTCCCACACCTTCACTCCCACACCTTCACTCCCACACCTTCACTCCCACACCATCACTCTCTCACCATCACTCTCTCACCATCACTCTCTCACCATCACTCTCTCACCATCACTCTCTCACCATCACTCCCACACCTTCACTCCCACACCTTCACTCCCACACCTTCACTCTCTCACCATCACTCTCTCACCTTCACTCCCACACCTTCACTCCCACACCTTCACTCTCTCACCATCACTCTCTCACCATCACTCCCACACCTTCACTCCCACACCTTCACTCCCACACCTTCACTCTCTCACCATCACTCTCTCACCTTCACTCCCACACCTTCACTCCCACACCTTCACTCTCTCACCATCACTCTCTCACCATCACTCCCACACCTTCACTCCCACACCTTCACTCTCTCACCTTCACTCCCACACCTTCACTCTCCCTCTCCCACTGTTTTATTACATGGCCGATTTTCAGGGAGGAATTCTTTGATTATGATGTAATACTCGGTATATTATTTGTGGTATTGAGTTTATATTTATTCTTGAAGCCATTTAAACTCAGTATCATTATTGAGAGCCATTTACATGAGAAATGCAGTCTGCCAGTGTGAAGATAAGACAAAATTTAATTAGTTGTATTACATGAATTGATTTTATTAACATTAGAATGTAAATTAAGAAGCTGAAGAATGTAAATCAAGAAGCTGATGTTAAGTCCAGCTGTATTTAAATAAAACAACAACATCTGCCACCGACGAACTTGTATTTTACAAAATTTTATTGAAAATCTGGAATTTGTGATTACAGTAATTATGAACAGAGTAAACTGCGGCCTTTTATGACATGAAATTGGAAAAGGTTAATAGCTGACTTTAGATTACCTATATGGGTCAATAGCAGCAAGTATATGGGTCAATAGCAGCACCTATATAGGGTCAATAGCAGCACCTATATGGGGTCAATAGCAGCACTTATATGGGGTCAATAGCAGCACCTATATGGGGTCAATAGCAGCACTTATATGGGGTCAATAGCAGCACTTATATGGGGTCAATAGCAGCACTTATATAGGGTCAATAGCAGCACCTATATGGGGTCAATAGCAGCACCTATATGGGGTCAATAGCAGCACCTATATGGGGTCAATAGCAGCACCTATATGGGGTCAATAGCAGCACCTATATGGGTCAATAGCAGCACCTATATGGGGTCAATAGCAGCACCTATATGGGGTCAATAGCAGCACCTATATGGGTCAATAGCAGCACAACACTGACTATAGGTGGGGACATCCGGTGATCAGTAGATGTCCGCACGTGAAAGACACTTCACTGAAGAGACAATCAAATAAAAACAAACTTAAAACCTAAATGTCTACTTTGGAAATATTTGAGGACTTTATTGTCAAGGAGTTTTAGAGACTGCATAAGTCATACATGTGTTTTATTCCTCTAAAGGATATTCAATTCATAATTCAACTGTCAGGGGACAGGAAGCCAGAGTGTATTCATGCACGTTTTTGCTTTTATTGAGGTCTCCCTGCAAGGTCGAATTACTGACCCTACCCTGGATGCAACCCCACAATAAGCTGACTAATTCCTGAGTACCTACTTACTGCTAGGAGAATAGAGGCATCAGGTGAAAACAAATGTGCCCAACCATTTCTGTCCCGCCTGGGATTCTTACCTGGAATTCTCGATTGGGCGTTGAGAACGACCCCGTCTGTACTAGCGGGATATATTGTGCTCTGCACCAATTGTGGAGGGCCAGGTGGAGAGTGGCATGCAATATTGCAGGGTTTTAACATTATTGACGAGGTTTTGTCTGTATGGACTTTTCAAATTGAAGAGAGATACACAGCCAGGTAGTTATTAAGGAATTAGAAGGTGAGAATCTGATTAATATGCTTTTTGTTTCATTATTGTGGTGAGAATAAAAGTGAGAAAGGTTGAATTGTGTACATTTATTATATTTAGACTTTTACGCTGAGGGTGTCACCATCTTTCTTTAATTTAGTGTCTAATAAAGCATAGTAATAAAATTGGCCTATTCTGTTAGGTAAACTGTAGAGATGGTTCTACTTTACCAGGTATGTTCCTGGGATTATTCACAGTAAAATGGTGTTGGCCTCATCAAAACATCAACAACATTGCCAAGCTGTTTTACAGTGTAGACAATGATGCCAGATAATTGCCTTGTTTCAAGTGATTCCATGGCTAAACTTGCTAGTTTTGCACTAATTACAGAGCTCATTGTCATGCCAAATTGTTGACAATTGAATTTAAAAGGAGAACCGAATCAAAAGTAAATGTATATACTGGTATGTATGTATGTATGTATGTATATATGTATGTATGTATGTATGTATGTATGTATGTATGTATGTATGTATGTATGTATGTAATATATATATATATGTCGTACCTAGTAGCCAGAACGCACTTCTCAGCCTACTATGCAAGGCCCGATTTGACTAATCAGCCAAGTTTTCATGAATTAATTATTTTTCGACCACCTAACCTAACCTAACCTAACTTTTTCGGCTACCTAACCTAACCTAACCTATAAAGATAGGTTAGGTTAGGTTAGGTAGGGTTGGTTAGGTTCGGTCATATATCTATGTTAATTTTAACTCCAATAATTTTTTTTTTACCTCATACATAATGAAATGGGTAGCTTTATCATTTCATAAGAAAAAAATTAGAGAAAATATATTAACTCGGGAAAACTTGGCTTATTAGGCAAATCAGGCCTTGCATAGTAGGCTGAGAAGTGCGTTCTGGCTACTAGGTACGACATATATATATATATAATATATATATATATGTCGTACCTAGTAGCCAGAACTCACTTCTCAGCCTACTATTCAAGGCCCGATTTGCCTAATAAGCCAAGTTTTCCTGAATTAATATATTTACTATAATTTTTTTCTTATGAAATGATAAAGCAACCCTTTTCTCTATGTATGAGGTCAATTTTTTTTTATTGGAGTTAAAATTAACGTAGATATATGACCGAACCTAACCAACCCTACCTAACCTAACCTAACCTATATTTATAGGTAAGGTTAGGTTAGGTAGCCAAAAAAAGCTAGGTTAGGTTAGGTTAGGTAGGTTAGGTAGACGAAAAAACATTAATTCATGAAAACTTGGCTTATTAGGCAAATCGGGCCTTGAATAGTAGGCTGAGAAGTGCGTTCTGGCTATTAGGTACGACATATATATATATATAATATATAATATATATATATATATATATATATATATATATATATATATATATATATATATATATATATATATATATATATATACAGTATATATATATAAATAAAAGATAGTTTACCTTTTGGTAATCTCGAGACTTTATCAGAGGAAATCTTGGTAAACAACGAGATGACATCCAGGACACTTAAGTTTTTATTTCTCACGTTTATGTTCCTAATTTAGTAAATTAAATCTCCAGAGTCTTAAGATATGCATTGGCAGTAATACCCAACTGTTTAGACAGTGATGTTTGCTCAAATTTTGGCAAGTTTATGAGGATCAATACCAATGTTAAAGGTGACTGCAAGGCAATGTTAGGTTGATTGGTTTTGACCAAACTGTAGATCTCATTCCCAATACTCCCAGAACTATCTTCATATATTATCTATCAACTCCCCCCTAGCCAAATATTTCCAAGTGTCGAATCACCTTTGGTATCAGTTTGAACAAAGTCCTTGTTCAAACTGCTGACACTTTTAACAATTAACATCTTAGATACTGGGGATTTACAACAAACAATTTGAAACATGATGGTGACAAATAAATAGCT